GTAAGAAAAGGAAAAAGGCCCAGAGGCAAAAGGTAGATGGGATAATTTAAGTTAAGAAAGGCTGGGCTAGACCTGTCCTGGATGAAATGACAGACTATGGACACCCCCATGGAGGGCCTTACCCTCCCTGGGGAAAGGAGGGCATATGGGGGGGGGAAGGGCATGAGAGAAGTGGAGGGAAAGGGAGAGGGATTGACATGTGAAGCAACCTTGTTTCTAATTTAAATTTAAATTTAAAAATAAAAAATGAAAGGCTGGCTAGAAATAAGCCAAGCTAAAATCTGGCATTTATAAGAAATAATAAGTCTCCATGTATTTATTTGGGAGCTGGGTGGTGGGTCCCCCAAAAAGTAAAGAGTGAAAAGCAACCAATTACTTCTTAGGGTTTCAGTTGCCGTGTAGAGATGCCATGACTGTGACAACTCTCATAAAGAAAAACATTTAATGGGGTGGCAGCTTACAGTTCAGAGATTCAGTCCATTATCATCATGGTGGAACATGGCAGCATGCAGGCAGACATGGTGCTGAAGAAGGAACTCAGTGTTCTACATCTTGATCCACAAACAAGAAGAAGTGAACTGTGACACTGGGTGTAGCTTGAGCATAGGAGACCTTAAAGCCTCCCACCCCCTTGACACACATCCTACAAGAAGGCCATATCTACTACAATAAAGCCACACCTCCTAATAGTGCCACTCCCTTCGGGGACCATTTTCTTTCAAACCATCACAGGTAACAAAAGGAGCAGGAAAAGATACAACCCCAAATACACTACAGTTAAAAACATACACCCTCCTTGGAGTGATGTTTCAGGGTGGGTACTGAAGCCTCAGAGTCTGTCTCTCCCCCAGAAGGCTGCAGCTTCCTACCATTCCTTGGCTGGTTGCAGACCAACTATGCTCAGTTGTTAGTGGGTACTCAGGCCCACTCCCTGCTGATGGTGCTGGCCCCCAGAACATCACAGTGAGCCCAGAAGACCTTTTTTTACATTGCACAACATTTACTGTTGCCATCATCTTCTCTTTCTCCTCCCTCCATTTCCAGACAATTCTCCTTAATTAGATTTGTCAGACACTTATCCTCTAAGAGGACAGTCTCATAGGAAAAGTTAGGGGCACATGGGGTCTCTGTATTTTTCTGAAATGACAGAAGCTCTGATTGTAAATCATCTAATTCAGAAATGGTTCTCAGATTAACTAATTGCCATGGCTTGAACTGCCAGAGGGTCATGAGAAGCTGAACCTCCCTGGGATGGGCAACAGATAGTAGCTTTATCCTAGAAAGGATGCCATACAGGTCATCCTGTAGGTATCCTGTGGTAAGCCTGGACTTTGGAATTCACTTCCACCCTGTAAAAGGCTGCTTTCTGAGAGACGAAGTGCAGGCACGTATCACTGATGGAGGATGTCCTGCCTGTATGCTGTGAATGTGTTTCTCTTATTGATTTAATAAAATGCTGACTGACCAGTATCCAGGCAGGAAGTATAGGTGGAGCTACCAGACAAGTAGAATGCTGGGAATAGAAAGGAGAGAGAGAGGGAGAGAGAGAGAGAGAAAGAGAGAGAGACAGAGAGAGAGAGAGAGAGAGAGAGACAGAGAGAGAGACAGAGACAGAGAGACAGAGAGACAGACAGAGAGACAGAGAGACAGAGAGACAGAGAGAGAGAGAGCGCTGTTAGGGAGATGTCCTGTAGCTACTGGAAAGATAAGATGCTGGGCATTCTCTGGTAAGCCAAAACCACAGGGAGATACACAGATTAATATAAATGGTCTAATAATTAAGAGAGAGCTATCCAATAAGAAGCCTGAGCTATTGGCCAAACAGTTTATAATTAATATAAGCCTCTGTGTGTTTACTTGGGACTAAATGGCTGTGGGACCAGCAGAGACAGAAACTCCATCTACATATCACCATGCTGTTGACAGTTTGGTCTTAATTCACATTAAGTTGATAGTCAAGACCATTAGTCCCTGAGCAAAACCCTAAAAGATGCTTTGCAAGTGCAACAACCTGAGCCACAGCTACCTTATTAGGTAGATACAGTAGGTGGGTATTGAATGTATAGAACGGTCATTTTCTTTACCTGTGAATGAGACAGTCTGGAAAGCTTTAACTACAAAGGCTGATTAACTGACTAGTTAGGTGACATGAACAGTTTGCAATATTGCAAGTCCAGAGCCAAATTACCTTGGGCCATCTTTAGCTCACTTAGGAGTCATTTACTACTTTCCCGTATATATGCCCTAATATCTTTGTGGCTGTTAGTTAAGTCATTTGGAATGTGCAAACAAAAGTGATAGCTTCCAACAGTGAGAAGGCTTAGAATGCCATCACATAGTATCTGAATCCTATGACTGAGCTAGTCTATGATTGCCCACCTGATGATTCCACCAACATATTTGAAGACTGCCTTGATTTATGATTTCCTTTGTTCTTTTATTTAAAACCTTCTTGAGAGCTGGAGAGATGGCCCAGAGGTTAAGAGCACTGACAGCTCTTGCAGAGGTCCTGAGTTCAATTCCTAGCAACCACATGGTGGCTCACAACCATACGTAATGAGATCTGGTGCCCTCTTCTGGCATGCAGGAACACATGCAGGCAGAACACTGCACACATAATAAACAAACAAATAAATAAAATCATTAAGAAAGGAAAACAAAAAAAATAAAAGCTTCATGAAACTGTTTCCATACTGGAAATGGAATTTGGAGTCACCTGAATCTGTGTTCCTGAGGCATGGTCACATGGTCTCATATTTGACTCCAGAATAAGCTCTTTTCTCCCCTATGAAGTGAAAGCTGTATTTTTGAAACAACAAGTCAAACCTATTTATTTTGTGCTTCATCATCATAAAATTGACACTCTAAGTTTTTACTATGTAAATATGTAATGAAAGATTTATCTTAATAGTTCCAGGGACTATTGAGGCTCTTGGCTGTTTGTCATGGGAAACCCCTTGTTAAAGTGTTTGCTGCAGGAAACTTTCCAAAATGTGTCAGCAGGTTGATTTACTCTGTGACCTTGGGTGCCACACACCTCCCGGGTCTACTTCTGATTAATTTATATGTTTTAAATAGCTCTGCAGAGGACCTCAGAAATCAGAACATAGCTAAAAGCCATCAGCGGCATACGAAGGTTGCTATTGAAATAATAGAAAAATGTTACTAACAGTTAACTTTAAAATACAAAGCAGCATCTAGTAGGGTTTTTGCTGTTTCTTTCTTTCCCTTTTTCTTTTAATGAAGTGTATGTGGCTCTTCAGAAAGAGTGTCTTCCCTTGACTCTTGTCTCCAGCCTGATTTGTAGTTATCTATTGCCACCATCAAATTACCCTGAAACTCGGCAGTGTGAAGCAGCAAGCCTGCATTATCAGAGTCCCCTTTGAGGTCTGGGTACATCATTGCTGGTTTCTCCTGCCACAGACTCTGTCCTACAGCTCTGCTCTTACCTGAAAACTCAGTAATGGACATCTCTCTGCCTGGTCCACACAGAGCCATTGGCAAGACGCAGTTCTCTCTGGGATGCTGGCCAGGCTCTTCCTTCTGTTCCTTGCCATGCTGGCCACTCCATAGGGCAGTTTACTATATGACAGCTTTTGTTTTGTTTTCTTCTGAGACAAAATCTCTCTGTGCAGCCCCTGGCTGACCTGCAACGTGTCTCTGCCTTCTGAGCACCGGGATTAAAGACAGGCACCACTGTCCCAGCTTGATGTGACAGCTGTTGACTATGGAGCAAGGGAGGGGAGAGGGAGGAAAATCACAACCTTCTTCCAGCCTGTATCTGAAGGGATATATTGTTAACTGTATTCTGCTTATTGGAAGCAGGTGCAGTCCATGCTCAAGGTTACAAAGGATGCGAATGCTATCAGGCAATACCTTTGGGGACCACCTTGGTCTTACTATCACACACTGTAAGGGCTGAATGAATATAAGTTGAATCCTTCAGTAGAGCTTGCTCTCTGTCCTGTACAGTGAGGGGCCCACCAGAGTCCCAGCCACTCCTAGCTTGCAGTGAGCTCAGGTTGGTCGTGGATATATTTAACAGCCACTGATACAGATCAAGGACTAATGGGTTAACATGGGGGTACCCTTTGTTCTGCAGGTTTGGTGACTTTATAATATGTTATATTCTTGAAATTTGCCAACAACAGATAATTTTTCTCAGCACCCCCACATAAAGGTTGAAGTGATAATTTGTTTAATTGTGGTAATTATTTCAGCATTTGTATGTATAACAACCGTGTGTGTGTGTGTGTGTGTGTGTGTGTGTGCTTGAGTGTGCACGTGTTTTTTGTTTTTTTGGGTTTTTTGTCAGTTCTACCTCATTTAAACTGGAAAAAAAATAAAATTCTCATGTTCACTCTCACAGGGTGCTGATACCCAATTCATACTGCCTTTTAATTTTTAGCATTGATATTTTTCTTTCCTTTTTTGCCTTTCACATTGATGTACTCATTTAAAGATTTCAAGACTTTCTTCCTGGCGCTGCATCTCCCACCAGATAGCCAGAGCTGAACGCCAAGTTTTATAATTAAAATTCTGTTGCATTCCCCCAAAACAGCACAAATGGTGCCATTAAGCCTGGGAGAAAAGATTCGTAAGCACTTTACCTAGTAATTTAAATATAACACTCTGGCATCGGTTTAGGGTATTTTCAATTCCAATTAGAACACTATTACTGAACATTAATATCTCTGCACTGTGTTCCATTGTGGTCTCTTGTTCATTTTGGATGTCTAGCTTTTAAACAAACAGCTTGGGTACATGGCTATAGCAACCCACATAGTTTCCTGTGGCCTTTGGGAATCACTAGGTCTCCAGCATAATTGGAATATTTCAAAATCCTCTAGACAGTGACAGAAAAAATGGTATGTTTGGACATTACCTTATCAAAATGACCTACTTAATTTAAGAAAAATATTGTTTCCACTTGCATGGTAGCCTGGATGCTTTCACTGACAGATTTTTAATCACTCCTCTCCTACTTTTTTTTTCCTTAGAAAAGGAAAGGGAATGGAAAGGCCCATTCTACTTCATCCAAGGTGCAGACCCCCAATTTGGGCTGATGAAGGCCTGGTCCACTGGGGATTGTGACAATGGTGGTGATGAGTGGGAACAGGAGATCCGTCTCACTGAGAAAGCTGTTGAGGCCATCAATAAGCTGAGCCCCAAACCCAAATTCTTTGTTCTTTGTGGCGACCTCATCCATGCTATGCCAGGTAAGCCTTGGGTTGTCATGGAGGACCTTTTCTTCTTTAGCTAATCCTGACCAAACATAAGCAGGAAAAGTAGAATTTCCTCTGAAGACATCTCTGTTTGCTATTGTTCTTACTCTTCAAGGTGGTTGTGGTATCACTGTATATCAGGAAATGCATGCTCACTTTATATTTAGAACTTGCTGAGATTAATCACAGTAATTAGGCCCAGTGACAATTCTGTTGATCCAAGTTTAGTAGGAAAACACACCCCCTATGTCACCTTGCTGCGTTTCCAAGGACAGACATTACAACGTCTAAACACCACTTCTGTAATTTGTAACTCTAATCTGTAACGGTAATCTGGTTCCTTCTTGAGTTGTCTCTCTTTTTAAATTCTTATTTTATGTGTATGGGTGTTTTGCCTTTGTGTATGTATGTGCACCATGAGTGAGGTACCTGCACAAACCAGAAGAGGCACCAGACCCCCTCAAACTGGAGTGCCAGGCTTTTGTGAGCTACCATGTGGGTGCTAGGAATTGAACCTAGGTCCTTTGTAAGAGCAGCAAGAACTCTTAACCACAGAGCCATCTGTCTAACCCTACTCTCTTTGCTTTTACACTGTTATTTTTTCCCATGTGTGTTGTTGCTTAGGTGTAGCTGGATCCAGGGGCTCAGAAGTTGTCATCTGAATATGTCTCTCTGCTATGCTCTTCTATTAGTTGACTTCATTTTCAACCAAGCTCTCTAATAGTGGCTATAAACCTAGGGAGTTCTAGGTTTATAGAACTCACAACAGAAACAAAGTGATCTATTTTGGATGATCCAGTCAGAGTCACAAGCCATGTTTACCTGATTCACATGGGCTCAAAGCTAAATTGTGAGGTTAGCTCCACTAGAGCCTTGTGGTCTGAAGAGCAGAGTGGCTTCCCTGAAGAAAAGTCTGATGCTGGTCCTTGAGCATCCCTGATCATGTGGCCTTCTGTTTTACCATGTGTTCTGATCTTTTCTACTGCTTTGATCACAGAAGGAGAAGGGGAGGGCAGGAGGAAAAAGGGAAGAAGCAAGTGAGGAGGGATCAGGAGGAAGAAGTACTTGGATGTTTCTGCAACTCTCTTGGACAGTTCCCTTGGACACCCTCACTCAATAGCCTTCTGTGTCAGACAGGGCCTCAGCCCAATGATCAAATATAAGAAGGAGAGTTAGCTTCCATGACCTCTTCCCCTTTCCTGCACCTGTCTCTGCACTGGAACAGAAATGACTTGAGAACCAGGGTAGAAATCATGAGCATGCCTGAGAGACATGCGTTCATCTAACATTAATTGCTCTAAATGCTCCAGAAGCTGAGGTGCTTTGCAAAAAGCTAGACGCACTTCAGTTATCAGAATCCTGCTCCTACTGTCTGGCCACCAGTGTGTCCAGAACTAAATCCAGAGTGAAGATGCTATGGAAAGGGAGCAGTTGGAACTGTTTTCCTTCACATTTATGGAGAACACATTTATGGAAAATTCTCAGGAGTGTCCTTGTCTCTGTTCACTCATGTCTTACACAAAGTCATGCATGTGGCCATGTCTATACTGATGACTCTTCCACGTAGAGCCCATGGATAGCAGCTGTAGAAACTTCTAGATTTAGCCTGTAAAAAAGTTATAGGAAGAGCCTGGGCCACCAGATCCCTGCCCCCTTGTGATGGTGTAGGTGGGATACCTTGGTCTCTCAGTGTTTTAGTCAAGAACCCACAGAAACAGCAAGAAGGTAAAACCGCAGCATGGCCTGGGGCTACACAGTAGTAAGAAAGCAGCTGAGCAAGGAGAGACCCAGACCCAGTAACAACTCTGAAGTCCCTGGATCCAGACACATGGCATGGAAACAGAGCACCCTACCTGTACAACAGAGGTCACTACCTGGGCAACTCTACACAGAAATGCATTTGTGAAAAATAGTCCTTTGTTTTGTAGTGAAGTTGAATACTAGGCACTCATAAACTTGACCCTTTTTGATGACTTATCCAAAGGTCAGTAGCATTAAGATACTACAATGTGGAAATAGCTGTAGGTTTAGCTTCTGACATACTAAGGCAAACTAAGGTGGTAGGTTCACTGACCCAGAACATTATTGCTGTTTCTAAATGGTCTGGGTTGCAGTTAGCTGGTGTCTTGAGGGTGATAGGGCCTCATGTGCCATTAGCTTGGTACTGTTGTTTGAGACCACATAGTGGGCAAAGGTCTGCTTCTATTGACCCTTGAACATAGATACAAAATTAGTATTTTCTGTTCTGTGGCTTCAGGATATCATGAAGCTCTTTGGAATTGTATAACATGTTCTCGTGGATGTTTACCAACTTGTTCTGAATTATGTTAATATATTCAGTCACATTTCAAAATCAGATGTAAAATAAAAGCCTTTCTTGCAATTACATTGCTTCTTAAGTAGAATATACTGAATACAAATAAATGGAAAGATATATTTTTATGATCAGCCCTAACTGTTGGTCAGAAGATCTTAAAATATGAGCCTGCAAATTTCTGGACTTACACTTAATATCCAAGGTGACTGGATCAGAGCTCATAATCTCCTCTGAAGATTTGGGCTGTTTGAGGACTTTTAGCTGAGCCAGATAGAGGATTTTAACTGTTTTTGAATATTTTGTCTGAGATTAAACAGAATGTTTTAAAGCTAGTTACAGTTTTTTAAATATGCAGTAAGTTGCTTCGCTCATTTAGCACATACGCCAGGGCTGACTAGAAAAGTAATTATTTGCTTTGACTGCTTAGCACATTGTTAATGATCAAATGCATATATTAATAAGCAAATAAAATCAGAAGGAATGCTTTTAATTCCAACATAAATAGTATCTTGGGTCAAGTGGATATTAACTCAAAATGAAGCAGAAGAACTTTCCAAATAATGAATTTTTTAGTGAAAATAATAATATCCTTTTTTATTATAACTACCCATTGTAACCTTCATTCATCCACAGATATTCATTGAGTACAGAATAAGTGCCAATTACAGCACTGATTATAATAGTAGAAATGAGAGAGCAACGCCTTTTGCAGAGCTGAGAGTTGACAGGAGACAGATGCATAGGTGGTGGGAGTGGTCATTGTGCCAAGGCTCCAGCTTGGTTTTGGACAAGCATATCTTCATTTTACAGGTGCCTTGATCTTCTAATATAACTTCTCTGTGAGATTAACCACATTAAAAGTGGCAATTTAAGATCTTGTACGTGTTACTGAGACCATTGATTTCTAGTCCTTTAGCTCTCAAGCCCAGGGTGACTTTTGTAGCCTCTGCTGACATTGAGTCATCGACCCACTGAAAGTGTCCCCAGGAGCCTTGTTAGAGTCCAGCAGTTCCGAGTGGATGACCAATCAGAATGTGATGGTATAATTATGGAACAAGATTCCAGTGGGCCTCTTGAGTATTACTGATACATGTGTTTATCCCTGTGCATTTGGACTCCATGAAACAGACAACACAGGCCAATTCTTCCCTTATATAAAATGTTCTGGAAGAGCTCTTGTATGTTACCTCTGCCTGAGCAACTGTGGCATGCTTGAGTTTCTAGTGAGTGACAGGCTCAGGAGCCTCTGTTCTACAAAGGGAGGCAAGCCTGTGCTCACATCATTCATCTTCTTCTAAAACAGTGTACACTCACTCAAACAGGTCTGCAGGCACAAAGTACAAGATATGTAATCTGCAGGGCTGTGCTCCTCAGAAGCTGCATGCATTTCTTGTTGTGCCTCTTTAAAGCCTATAATCCTGTGGCTTTTCTCAGGCCTGTGCTCCACCCTCTGGGATTCTCCTTCCTTATCAGTCTGGCCTTCTTCCCTCCACTCCTCCTTCTCTCCCTCCCTCCCTCTGGTACAGATCTGTGTGATTACACTGGGCCTGCCTGATAACCTAGAGTAATCTCTCCATCTGCAGAGTCTCCTTTGCCATGGAAGATAAGGTACTTACAAGTACTGGGAGTTAGCGTGTGTACATCTCAGAGTAGGCTTTATTCAGGCTACCACAGTGACTTGTGATGAGGGGAATTCAGGATCCATAATGGCCAGTGTCATTGGGACTGTGCAGCCAGCTCACCTGCGCTTAACAGCGACACAAAAAGGATGGAAGAGTTAGATAGTTCCATTGTTGCTAGCAGAGTAACTGACTCTTAGCAAGGAAGTGCCTTCTCCCAAGGTCTCGTAGCCTCCATGTGGTGGACTCCCTTTATAGACCTCCTGCACGTCCGCTGTAGTGTTACTGTTGAAAAATGTGACCTCAAAAGTGACCAGGGCCTCCTGGAAATGGAGCGTCACTGCCCCAGACAGGTCTGGCAAGGCTTCATGAAGTCACCAGATGAATTTTACAGACAGTAATGCTTGACATGCATAGGCTTACCAGTCTAGGGTGCATAGGCCCAGTGTGTTCTGCTTTTTGTGTATTTTGTATAATACTGTGTGCCTGCCAGGAACCAGTGAGAATTCCCCTCAAGTGTGATCAGTGATGGCTTTAAGCAAGACAGCCATCACTCCGTTATGCATCTGCTCAGATTGCAGAGGACATGCTTTTAAGTGTGTAGGTTTTTACTTCTTAAATACTCTTGAGTAACTAGAGCAGGATGCTCTCTCCTATAGAAAATGCCCACAACAGCATGTTAGCAAAGTGCCATGGAAAACAGACAAACCCATTTTTCTTTAACTGGATTTGTTTATAGACAGTCAGGACCGGGCTTTTTATTTGGACCACATACATGCACAGAACTCTGTCATTCCAACACTCAGGAGGCTCTAAAAATTAAAGCTGTTTTCCTTAGATTTGAATTTATTTGACTGGTAACAAAACTGCCCTGAGTTGGAGGTTCCTAGTCTTTATCTAATGGGATACTCGCACATTTGTTAGTAGAAAATCCCTGGGCTGTAGTAAGTTGTTCTGAAGCTCTTGCTTTGTTAGTACATATTCTGTCCTCTCTGTTCCCTTCTAAAGTTTGTCAAAATCCACTTTTAAACAAGATCTAATCCAGACGGTTTTGCATA